AAAAAAAAGGTGGAAACAACCCAAGCCTCTACCAGCAGATGATTAGATAAACAAAATGTTGTATATCCACAGAATGGAATATTATTCAGTCATAAAGAGGAATGATATTCTAATGTATGCTATAACATGGATAAGTCTTGAAAACATTATGTTGAGTGAAATTAGTCAGTCACTAAAGGACAACTATTGTATGATCCCACTTAGTGGAAATATCTAAAATAGTTAAATGCACAGTGACCAAAGTTTATCACAGTTACCAGGACAGGTGGGAGGTGGAATAGAAAGGTTTTGCTTAACAGTCAATACCAAGTTTTTGTTTAGGGTGATTAAAAAATTTGGAAATGGATAATAGATGGTTGCATAACATGATGGATATAATTAATGTCCCTGAATTGCACATGAAGAAATGGCAAGTGTTTTGTTATATATATTTTACCACTACAAAAATTATTTTAAAAAGAAAATAAGAAATGCAACCTCAAATCCAGCCCAGATCTCCTGATCAGAATCTGCACTTCAGTAAGACCAAGGGGACTCAAAGACAGCAGCTTGAGAAGTGCTGGGGCTACCACATCATGACTGGTTGGTCTCAGCCAGGGCTTCTAACTGGTTCTTCCTGGTTCAGTCAAGGCTGACAAAGTGAATCCAGTATGGACCTGAATTTGTAAAATGTGGATGAACCAGAATGTGACATAAATATGGGTTGACACCCTGTTAGAATCTCTCTCAGAAAATAAGGGCAGCGGGCACATCGCATAGCAACCAAATCTCTTGACAGGCAGAGTTGGCAACAACGGTGCCCGGCTCAAAGATGGCAGCCATATGTGCCATTTTGAACATGTGTCACTCTCCACAGCCCTAGCAATAACCTAACCTCCCACATCAGGGTCCTGAAAGGGCTCACCATGCCTCTTCAGAGTCTCTCTTTCTATGTCTCCGACCTGTTCCAGTTAGTGTTCTACTTCTCACCCAAATTTAACCAATTCAGGTCTGTTCTGATTTTGCATTGTCAGCCATGACTGAACTGAATTTAACTGGTTTGAAGCCGTGGTTTTAAAGACTCTACAACTTGGTACCACACAATAAAGTTGTCATGAGTTTCATCTAGCGCATTAGGGCAAACTGCTTTTACAGTTTACATGTACAGCTACAGCTGAACTACCAAAGCCCCTTCTTGGGCTATGTAGTTTTCTGAAAATGTTAGAATATGTCCAGAAAAAAAAAAAAAAGAGTAAAATGACGTGGGATAATTACCGGGCAGAACATCTTGATGGTCTGACAATTCTGAAGTATCACTGCAAACGTGCACTTGCAGAGGCTGAATCAAAAGCTGTAAGCCCAGTGATAAGGGCACATTTGGCCCCTGACAAGTGACTCTGATGAGTCTGCATTACAATGGTTCAAAATGAATTCCAGGCTCTATTGCCATGGAGCTTTAAGGCCTAGAGGTTTAGACTTAAAAGCAGTTTGCCCCTAATGTGCCAGGTGAAAGCCATGGCACCCCTACTGTGCGGTACCAATTACATTTATGGGCTTGCCCCAGGAGCGCTTGGAAAACGTCACCTTTAGTGCTGACATATCACCTCCTAGGAGCTCTGTCTAGTGGGGTTGTTTTGAAGGCTCTTTATTAATACACCCAGTTGTCATCTGCAAGTCTGCTTAATTACAGCAAGTCTGTCAGGGACGCTTTCTGCATAGGGAGCCTTGGAGAACAAGAATTGCTTAGAGAGGCTGTGTGGGCTTGCAGAAGCATCATGGGCCTGCTGTCAGACGTAGGCCCCAAGCACTTGGCCACTTGGCAGGTGTGTGATGTTTGGAAAGTTGCTTAACTTCTCTGAACTTCAGCTTCTCTTATGTGAAATAGGGATCTTTTTAGAGTCTTTATGCCAGAAGGAACAAATCCATCTTGGAAGAAGAACAGCCAGAATGCTCCTTAGAAGTGAAGGTGGTGAGAATTCAACTCACTTACTTGACACATCATCACGAAAGACCAATCTCTAGAAAAAGACCTCATGTTTGGTAGAGGGCCAGTGAAAACACACTACAGATTGACACAGTAACTGCAACAAAAGACTGACTCAAACACATCAAGGGTCATGACAATGGCACAGGACTAGCGAGGCTTCATTCTGCTACGCATAAGGTCACCATGAATTGGAGTTGACCCAACGATTACTAACACCACACATGATCCAGAGAAAGCTTAGTCTGAAGGTTTTCTGAAAGCAGCTCTGGTGGAGAAATGAGTAAGTGCTTGGCTGCTAGCTGAAAGGTGAATGGCTTGAACTCACCAGTTGCTTGACGGGAGAAAAGGCCTGGGGATGTGCTTCCGTATAGATTCCAGCCTAGAAAATCCTACAGGCAGTTAGTTCTACTCTGCCCTAAAGAGTCACTATGAGTCAGAATTGACTCAACGATACACAACAGGTCCTCTGAGTCATTCTCTTCTACCTCCGTCACTGCAGCCTCAGCCGCAGACCCACTTTTCTCCTTCCAGGGTGCTAAAGAGTCACATCTTCTGACCTCCTTTAACCCCTCAAGAGGAAGACAGAAGTACCATCAGCAGTCCAAGGCCGATCCCTGTGAGGCCAGACGTGCCATCTCCCTCCAGCCCTTACACCAGCCCTGACACCAACCTTTCCTCCCGCAGCACTCACCACCTTTCTGCTGGGTTCGATAATCCGCTGCAGTGGCCACACAGAACTCACAGATGATGGGGTTTATTATGGAAGCACCAGGTTACAATTCAAGTTCAGGAACATGCTCAGTCTCTCAGTGTCTCTCTCTCAATAGCATGTGTCTCTCAGTCTCTCCCAGCAGTGCATTGTCTCTCGGGAGCACGTTTCTCTCAGCAGCACTTCTTTCTCTGCCAACAATTGGAGAGACTCCTTCTGCCTCTAGGCGGGCTCTTTTTGAGCCTGGCAGAGTGGCCAAACTAACCAGCCATAATATCAAAATTCTAAACACCTGAGAGAGAGCGAACTTCACAGAACATTGCTTTGTGCCACTCTCAACAGAAATACCCCAGGTAGATAACTTTAACAATCAGGAGCTCCTCAGTTGCTCACGGCAAATTCCACCACAGAGTTTACAAAGACTTATGGCTAGAAAAATTATACCAGATAATTTACTACACTGCACAGGGTTTCTCAACCTTGGCACTATTGACATTTTGGACCAAATCTTTATTTGGGGTGAGAGGTAAAGCTTTCCTGTGCACTAGGATGTTCAGCAGCATCTCTAAAGCAGAATCTGCCCCCCAGGCCCTGTGCGTCACTGTGACAACCCACACTACCTCCAGACTTTGCTCAATGCTCCTAGGGGCAACACTGCCCCTGGTGGAGAACATCGTTATTGAATGTTTGGAATAACTACTGTGTAGAAGACAATAGGATCTCTGCTGGTGTACTGCCAAGGCATTTGACTGCTAACCAGAAGGCTGGTGGTTCAAACCCACCAGCCACTCCTTGGAAGGAAGACTGGGCAATCTACTTCTGTACAGACACTGCCTTGGAAACCCTAGGAGGGGTTGCTATGAGTTGGATCCGACTTGACAGCAGTTTTTTTTTTTTTTTTTTGGTACTAGACAATACGCCTGGGTTATAGTGATGCTTGATGGTGCAAACAGTTTGCACTTGATTACAACTCAAAAAGCAAACCTATCCAGCAATACCACAGAAGAAAAGCCCCCGGCAATCTGTTTCTATAAAGATTAAGCAACAACAAAAATCACCCCACTGCCACTGAGTCAATTCTGACTCACAGTGCCCCAGAGGACAGAGTGTAACTGCACCATACAGCTTCCAAGGCTGACAATCTTCACCGAAAGCAAAGCCCAAATCAAACCCACTGCCCTGGAGTCAATTCTGACTCACAGTGCCCCAGAGGACAGAGTGTAACTGCACCATACAGCTTCCAAGGCTGACAATCTTCACCGAAAGCAAAGCCCAAATCAAACCCACTGCCCTGGAGTCAATTCTGACTCACAGTGCCCCTAGAGGACAGAGTGGAACTACCCCAGAGGGTTTCCAAGGCTGTCAATCTTTATAGAAGCTGACTGCCTCATCTCTTTCCTGCTGAGTGTATGGTAGATTTGAACCTCTGACTTTCTGGTTAGGAGCTGAATGCCTCAACCACTGCATCACCAGTGCTCAATTAAAAAACAAGTAAAACAAAACAACAAAAAAAACCCACAGATGTGTTAGTTCTTTAGTGCTGTAACAGAAATACCACAAATGGATGGCTTTAATAAACAAATTTATTCTCTTACAGTTTAAGAGGCTAGAAGTCTGAATTCAGAGAGCCGGCTCTAGGGGACCACTAAGCTAGAAGTCCAAGTTCAGTGTCCGCTCTAGGGGCTGGGTGGAGGCCCCCTGGCCTAGGCTTTAGCTCTGCCTTCCAGGTCCGCTGGAGCAAGCCGGAGTCTTCTCCTGACTCATGCAGCTGCGGAGGCTGACTAATCCAAGATCAGCAGGTAAAATGGCAGGGTGCTGGCTCCAGGCTATGAAGGCAACAATCTCAAAATCAGCAGGCAACACAGCAGGCCGCTGGTTCAAGTCCAAGAACTGGAGATGATGATGGCCAAGTGCAGGATTCTCTCAATACAGACTGGAAGCAGGCCACACCACAAAGGCAATTCCCCTTCAACTGATTAACTGCTCAGAGCAGATTTCACCATGGAAGTGATCGCACCATATCCAGTCTCATCATGGGGAGCAACACACCCAGCTGCCAAGCCACTCAAAATCACAGTCCAGCCAAGCTGACACACAACCTTAACCACCACAGCAGGCCTTTAGCTGACTGTCAGCCCAGAGTGCTGGGAGAACATGCCCCAGAGAGCCCTCTGGAGTCCTATACAGTACGTTTACCTTTTATTAAAATAATAAAATCTCAAGTAAGTTGCTTGGTGAGCTTATGACTTTATTAGAAACATGACAAGAAGAGTTGCGAGTGGCCACCTCCTCTACAGAAGATGCAGTGCCTCAGGGGCACGCCTGTCACGTTACTCGCTGCATGACAATCTTCCACAGCTCCTGTAACAAGGAGAAAGGAGTTTTAAGCGTGAACTTGATGCATGGGGATGACACTGGGAGAAGCCAGGGGATAAAGCCCCAGCAGTCACCAAGGGGTGTCTGAGGGTCCCAACCAAAACGGCCCAAGAGAAAGGCAGCAATTGGCACAACTTCTCTACTCACAGGGGTGCTGGGGGGACCCTTCATGAGATGGACTACAGTGACCTCACTAGGGTTAGTCACCACCCCCTCAGTGGCTCGCTGAAGCTCCTCCCCTCTCCCACTGGCCAAGGAGCAGACCCTCCTCTGTAGTGCCCACCTGCTTGACCTCACTGACTGGCCAGTGACGAGGGTGGGGTGTGCTGAGTTACTACACTGGGTGATGGATGGCACCAACTCTGGTGTTGCCACTTCTTGAGGCATCTCTCCTGGTGGTGCTGGTCTCTGGCTATCGTTGCCACCCCCAGGGTCATAGTGGTGTGATCAGTCTGACAGTGTCAGGGAGATGCTCACAGCCCCCTAGTGATACTACTGATGGACTGACAGAGTGGCTGCAACCAAGGGCTCCAACCCAGCAGTGACTGAAGATGACGCAGGACTGGGCCATGTTTCATCTTGCTCTACCTAAGGGTGCCACGCATCACAGCATGCTGATGGCACCCAAGGGCGACAACAAAGCACCACGTTCCACGGCTGCAGAATTTCTCGGGGCTGACTGCCTGGCCACGTGGCGTCACTTTTAATGGTGGCAGGTGGAGGATGTGCAAAACGTGCACTCGCTATCTGCCCAAAGTCAGAGTCATGCGGGCCGCACTTACCAGCTGCTGGATGCGCTCGTAGGCCAGGTGCTGAGGGAAGGAGGCTTCCACAGGCTCCACGGCCAGCCGCACCTCACCGGAGGCTAGCCTCTCCAGCGTGTGCAGGGAAGCACGGAAGTGGTCGTAGGCTTCACACGTCACGTCCAAGTGTCTCAATGTGAAGTTCAGCCTGGAAACCAACCAGCCGGCAGAGCACCCATCACGACTGCGGATGGCTTGTTTCCTCCTCACAACTCGCTCTCCTGTTCCCTCACTGACCTCGCTTCACGTCACAGGGGTTCAGCTGAGGGGCTGCCATGCATTAAGCATCTGTGCACATCTCCTTCCTAAATCTGTCCGACGAGGTCGAAATGGTCAGCACCCCCATTTTATGCATGTGAAAACTGAGGCTCAGAAAGCTGCTGTCCAGTGCCCAGATTTACACCATTTCCAAGCCAAAGACAGTGTCTGTGCCTCCGAGGAGCTACAAATTGGCGTGAGATGCAGGCCCGGGTGGGGCCTGAGGGTGAGGCCTTTGAGTGCCCTGCTGAGCGTCCCGCACACACCCAGAATGCAGCTGGCCCTGGAAGCTGCCCAACGAGCGTGTGAGGAACGAAGGGACAAAAGGCACACACCCAGAATGCAGCTGGCCCTGGGAGCTGCCCAATGAGCGTGTGAGGAACGAAGGGAGAAAAGGCAGTGGTAGACACAGGTGCAGAGGGGCTTTGGGAGGAGAGAGCAGGACTGCCAGATTCAGGGGCTGGGGAGACACCACTCAGCCTCAACTGCCGTCAGCCACGGCCAACACCACCTCTGCTCTCCTTTCATCCTCCACCCCCCGCCGATTATTAAACAGCAAATGTCGGACAGCAAATACGTCCTCTGTAAATGTCAGTGTAGATCTTGCAAAAACAAAGGCGTTTTAAAAAACAAAACTGCAATGCCATTACCACACTTAAAATGAATTTAAAGGTAATTCTTTCATATCAAACATCCAGTCAGGGTTCAATATCCCTGACTATCTCAGTAGTTTTCCTTTACAGTTTATAGAATCAGGGTCCAAATGAGGTTCAGACATTGCTCTTGGATGATACGTGCCTTGAAAGTAGGCCTCAATGTCATCAGTATAAATAGCACTGCAATGAATATACAAGTAAGTACGGCTTTGTATACACCCTGATCCTATCCACAGGGTGGATTTTAGATGAATTGCTCAGACACTAAGATGCTCAGTTTTATGGTTTGTGCTACACATTCAAAACCGCCTCTCAAAAAAGACTGGACTATTGTAAGTAAGAGAGAAATGAGTGCAAGTGTCTGATGTCGTATGGCTCTCAAGATGGGCACTCAATAAACGGGGGTCATGCACTTTTGGATATTCAAGTAGAAGCATCCTAGAGGGGGGCTTGTTAGGTGATGAGGCTCTGACTGGACATAACAGGAACCTAGGGTGCCGAGGAGACAGATGGTGACTTGGAGAGAAAGTTCAGAAAGAGAAGAGGCCATAGTATGTGGTGTGAAGCGTCCTGGCTCAGGATGTGTCAGCATTTGATTTCTCGTCTACTCCTGCAATAGCTGTGGCTTAGACTGGTTCCCTGAAGTCTTGGCCTTCCTCCATTCATCTGTAAAATGGGGACGAGGGTGTCTACTCATGAGGTTAGTATATGGACCAAATGAGGTCATGTATGTAGATGACTAGCATAGGGCCTGGCACATAGGAGGTGTTCGATAAACTGTAGTTAGTAATGATAATGACACTGGTGAGAGTGAATTAAGAGGGAAAAGTGTGGCTAAGACGCAGGCCAGCACAGCCCCCACAGCAAGACACTTACCTCTTCTCCACCGACAAGATGACCGTGCAGGACTTTTTCAGTTTACGAGTGAGTCGGGAGAGTGTTCTAAACACTGCATCAGTTAAGTCATCATCGTAAAACACTGTGGGGAAGAGAAGACGCATTAAAGTAAAACGTGCAACTCTTAAAGAGATATACTTTTCTGGGGACGGACGTGGACCCATGTGGACATCCTAACAACACACAACAGTGGCAGTCCTCACAACTAAAACTGCAGGCAGATGTGACAGAATGTTCTGCCAGATGCTCCTGAGAACCCAGAGAACTTGAGACAGGGACACTGTGGGTTTACTGAGTGTAACAACAAAACTTGCCGTAGCAAAGCTTCTTACCTTCAGCAGCAAGAAGCACAGTGGTGTGATTGTACAAGTCAGAAATTTCCTCTTCCGACCAGCTGAAGGGGACCTCAGGATCTGGGAAAGAGGACAGAGAAGACGTCATGTGTTCATTCCTTTCTCTGCTGCCACCAGCTCTCACCAACACTGACCGAGAGAAGCTGCGAGAGAGCTGATGGGGGCCGGGGGAGTGCTGTGGGCACGCCCGAACAGTCTGAGGCCCTGGTGCTCCAGCCCTAGGTGCCCTTTCCACAGGGGCCAAGAGTGCCTAGCCAGGGAGTCTGAGCTGACCAGTGAGGGGCAGGTGGGCAGCAGCCCTGTACAGGCACAATCTGCACCACAGCCCTGCACTCAGCCCCGCTAACTTGTTGCATGACCAAGAGAGCTGCTTCTCCTCTCTGGGTTTCAGTTTTCATATCCTTAAAAAAAATACCCAAGTCCATTGCCGTCTGGTTGATTCCAACTCACTGCGACCCTAAGGGCAGAGAACTGTCCCGCAGCATTTCTAAGGCTGTCGACCTTTATGGGGGCAGATCACCAGGTCTGTCTCTCATAGTCACTGAGTGGGTTTGAACCCAACCTATCAGTTAGCAGCTGAGCATTTAATCACTGTGCCACCAGGGCTCCCACACCAAAAACCAAACCAAACTCTCTGTCATCAAGTCGATTCAACTCATAGCGACCACTCCTTGGGTTTCCAAGGCAGTATCACTATGAAAGTAGACTGCCCAATCTTCCTTCTGAGGAGTGGATGGTGGGTTTGAATTGCTAGCCTTCTGGTTAGCAGTCAAATGCCTTATGCACTACCCACAGAATGGGGTTAATGCATACTTCCTTGCACTTGCTGGGGAGGTCAAAAGGTCACATCCTGAATGTTATGGCTACTGTTACTAAGTGTCCACCTTGTGACATATACTTGTGACTACTAGATACTTCACACAGGGAGCTCTGGGGCGCAGTGCCTAAGACACCTGACTGCTAACCAGAAGGCTGGTGGTTCAAACCCACCAGCTACTCCTCAGAAGGAAGGTTGGGCAATCTACTTCTGTAGGGATACTGCCTAGGAAACCCAAGGAGGGGTCGCTATGAGTTGGAAAATGATTCAATGGCAGTGGATTTTTTAGTTTTAGATACTTCACACAGGCTTTTCTCTTAACACAATACAGAACTTTTGTGGGAGCAGTTTAGACCTACGCATGCATTTACATATATAAAGTATGCAGACTATTTGGCAAGGTGACAGGGACTCAACAAGTCATGATTTTCTTCACCTGTCAGTCTGACATTTGACAGGGAAAATAAATCTTGATATACAATGAAAAAGCAGGAAACAAACTAAAGTGAGCTGTGTGAGGCATTTAGACAACTTGGCCACCCAGCATGCCCTGAACCTAGACCCCTTGTTGTGGCTGAAGACAGGCCATCAGGCAGGAGGCTACTTCCTGGCCTGGGACAAGTAGGGGCTCTTGGGGCACCACTGTTCGGTGTACAAATGGTCTAAGTTCCAGAGACCAACAGACGTGGGTTCAATCACTGACCCTGCCACTCACCAGCTGTATGACCCTGGGCAACATTTGCTAGCTGTCTGAACCTGGGCAGGTTGCTTAACTTCTCTGAGTATCAGTCTTCACTTGTCACTCAGGGACTGCCCCACCTACACAGTGAGACTGAGGACCCAATGACAAGATGAGTGTCAGGGCCTGGCTTGCAGCAGGTGCTCCAGGAAAGACAGCTATCACTCATCACCCCATAGAAGAGCTTGCGCGAGCTGGTGAGACTGGCAGTAGCCACAGTACGAAGCAATGACAGAGTGCCAAGGAATGGAATGGGCATCTAAGGAAACACGCACCTGTACACAGGTCCTCTTTCAGCCAGTCCAGTTCTCTGACCTTGACTACACCACCTGTGTGAGGACAAAAACAGATGTGGAGAACTGCCCACATTCCAAAAACAGTCAAGCAGACAGATAGCTTTTTCCACTATACACCAAGATCCACCCATCTATTCATGCACTCCACCACTCATCTTATCAGTGTGTTATACTGTGGTGGCTTGAATAAGGAAGACGGAAGAAGAGCTGGTGCTTTTGAGTTGTGGTGTTGGTGAAAGTACCATGGACTGCCAGAACTAACAAGTCTGTCCTGGAAGAAGTGCCGCCAGAGTGTTGCGTGGAAGGGAAAATGACTAGACTTTGTCTCACCTACTTTGGTCCTGTTGTCAGAAGGGACCAGTCTCTGGGAAGGGTATCATGGTTGGTGAAGTGGAGGGTCAGTGAAAAATGGGCAGGTCCTCAATGAGATGGACTGACACAGTGGCTGCAATGATGGGCTCAGGCACAGCAAGGACTGTGAGGCTGAGGCAGAACCCAGCAGTGTTTTGGTCTGTTGCACATAGACAGGGTTGCTATGAGTCAGAGCTGACCTGACAGCACCTAACAACAACAACAATTCATCCACCCATCTCTATGCTCAGCCTTCCTCCATCCACCGCCCTCCTGCCCACTCATCCTTCCAGCATTTGTCACTGCTCAGGATCAGGTCCTCTGCCAGGCCCAGCGAATGCACTCATCTAAGAGACATGTGCCCATCCCTGGGAACCACGCAGCCCAGAAGCTAGCAGGAGAGACTGGCAGGCTAGTGAACCACAAGCCAGTGCGGTAGGCGTGTGGACACTATGCACTAGGTGAACAGGAGGAAAGGGCCCTACACCACACCACAGGATGTCAGGGAGGCCCCAGAGGAAGAGGGTCAAGCTTGGGCCCTTCCCTGCCTGCTCCGTCCTTCTTACTTGCTAGCTGCCTACTGTGTCCTGGGCATTCAATAAACACTGCCTCCCAGGGGATCAGACACAGAGCTAGCCCTGCTTCATGGAGCGTGCAGTCTAGGAGGGGTGGCAGACGGCTCCCAATCACACAAACAACAGTTGAAATGCGGAGTTCCTAGGCTTCCCGGGAGTCTGTGAGGGTACTCTGACACTGCCCGGGGGTCTGGGGTGATCAGTTCACAGGGCAGGAGGGAGAGGAGAGCATTCCAGGCAGAGGAGTGGCAAGTGCAAAGGGCCTGAGGGCAGGGGAGCGTCAGAGAGGGCCAGGCTGGCTGCAGTGGAGAGCGCCAGGCTGGCCGCAGTGGAGAGCGCCAGGCTGGCCGCAGTGGAGAGGGCCAGGCTGCCGCAGTGGAGAGGGCCAGGCTGGCCGCAGTGGAGAGGGCCAGGCTGGCTGCAGTGGAGAGCGCCAGGCGTGAGGGTGGCAGGGCCTACCCCAGTAGCATCTGGGCCACATGGAGGGCTACAGTCTTCACCCAGGGGCAACAGGAAATCCTGAAGGGCTGGAAGCCCATGGGGTGGAGCTGACTGGAATTTGGAGAAGGCTCCCCATGGAGCTGACTGGAATTTGGAGAAGGCTCCCCAGGCAGCCCTGAGGGGTATGGTCTGGACTAGTCAGTTTAGTTAGGACATGGCTGCTATCACCCATCACTTAAGTTATTCCTGCAGGTAGTGGAAGTCCCCGACAGGCAGATGGAGGCGAGGCCAAGCCCAGGGAGAGGAAGGTGATGTGAGATGAGCCCCTGGCAGGCTGGACAACAGAACTGGGCAGTAGGTGACGGGAGCCCCTAAACGTTTCTCAGTGGGATGGTGGGGGTCAGACTTGCACCTTGAAGGGTCACTTAGGACGCTACCTGGAGGACAGCTTAGACGGCGAACACAGAGCTGGGGAGACGGCAGCACTGCTGGCACCCTGGCTCCAGGACTGGACTGAGCCGCAGTGGCGGACGTGGGAAGGAGAGGTGGCCCTGGGACAGCATCATTTGTAACTTGAAGCCACTTGATGGCCCAGACAGGGGGCACTCTGCTAACACCCAGGGAGTTAGGGAAGTGGATGGAATCCTGCCTCCCTGGGTGGCCCTAGTGGGTACGTGTCCCACCTGTCTCCCAGGTGGATGATGTGCTGGGCCTCACCTCCAGTGGCAGTCAGGTGGCCGTTGAGGTCAATGTTTCTCTGGCACATGGCCAAGAGATCAGCACCAACATCTGCAATGACAGAAGGGCAGGTCAGAGCACGTCAGCCTGTACAGCAGGGTGGTCGCCACACTCTGCCCGGAGCTGACACACAGCATGAAGGGACGTGACGTGAGGCCTGGCTGTAGACGGGCCAGGTGGGAACCAGAGAAAAGCGTCTCTGGGGTCTTTCATGGCCAAAAAGGAAGCTCCTTGCTTAAGGCCTGTTTCAATTTTCCCTCTTAAAAGAAGACAATCACTACCGTGGACAGACCTGTAGGAATCTCAGAGGGAGGGGAAAGTATGCTGGGATGTTTTCCCATAAAAACAAAAGCCCTTCCCACAGTTACACTTTGAAGACTTCCAACCACCCGGTGGGCTCATTTCCCAGGTACGATCACCTGAACAGAGTCACCCAACTACAGGAGCAGGAGTTGGGACTTGACCCCAGGTTCTTCTAACTCCAAATCCAGGCTTGCTCTTTGAATGCCTGGAAATCAGAGCTGAAAGGGTGTTCTGGGGTGATTAGCCCAGACCCAGAGTACACTGGAAGAGGCTGGAGACACTCTCTCGCACCCAGCTCAGGCCTGTCACGTCCCTCCATGCCTTCCTCGGAGCCTCTGGTGACTGCTGAGGGGATATGTCAGCACTGGAATACAATAGACTCGTGGTTGGGTGAGTCCTCCCTGGGGGAGCAGTACTCTGCCAGAAGTTCATGTTCAATCAGAAAGACCCACATGCTGGGGGTACGAGATGTAATGACATCTGGAGGGCCCACTGTGGGTGTGGACCGCCCTCCCACCCCAGCCTTTGGGTACTAGACCATCCCCATCTCCAGGGCCCGTGGAGTCCCTGTTCCCTGAAGGAAAGGACCAGTCCTTTCCCTAAGGCCCCAGGGACATGGAACACACAACAGGGTGTGCCTGGCAGCACCCAGCCTGCTTGGAGTCAGGGTGTGCTTGGCAGTATTGAAGCCACCACTGCTGAATGTGTCTGTCAAAAGAGAGCTAATGTGGGCTTCTAGCGTCCAGAGTGGGTAAGACAGGTGCAGCGCTGGCTGGTAGTGTTTGGGGTCCAGGAGTCCTGGGGCTGGTCCTCCCCGAACTCATTCTCCTCCAGGGAACAGGCTTTAGAACTTGGATACAACGAACTCTCCCACCAGAAGTCTGAACTGCCAACCTTTCTTAGCAGGTGAGTGCTTAACTGCTGTGCCACTAGGAAAGACCTGACAATCTGCTCCCTGGAGACGACAGCCCAGGAAACCCTATGGGGCAGCTGTACTTTGTCACTTGGGGTGGCTTCGAGTCGGTATTGACCTGATGGTACTCAGCAACAGCAACACAGGGTGACAAGGCAGCGCGCTCCGTGTCAGGAGGGCTGGGCCAGGCCTCTGCAAACAGCTGTGTGTGTGGCCCTGGGCCAGCTCTCTCACCTCGCCTCAGTCAGCTCACCTGGACAAAGGAGCAGGCTCCCTGGAGACTGGCCAGGGTCACTGTGAAGTGACAGCCAGGTGCGTGAGAAATGGCTTTGTCAACTGTGGAGTGCCATCTAAACGTGAGCCCATTTCCTCTTTATGCTGGTAAACCCTGCTCACTCTCAAAGACAAGAGAACTTGATTCCATCCTGTTATCACATGACAAGCGAAGCTCTTACGTGTCTTACCGTGGCTCAACTCCAGGCAAGGCTTGCTGGCAACTTACATAAAATCTTCGAGGAGCAGCAAACTGGAGGGCTGCACTGTAGCACCCCAAGCCATGGTGAACTTGGACTATTTTAGAAGTACACTGGGATGACAGGTGACGCCTTGCTCAGCAACGGTCCTGTGCTCTGAGAATGCTCACTAGGATGAATCCATGCTGAGCCACGTTGGCAGACCCGACGACAGGCATCTGCCTGGCAGGTGTTAACGACGTAGAACACACCAGTAATGCCCATCTAAAAGGACTAGTCTCTTCTGAGTCAGCACTTTCTAGAGAAGCACCTGGCAAGCATACAGTTCAGTGCACAGTATTGCACCCACAGCTCTGGTGGTGCAGTGCCTAAAGCATCTGATTGCCGATCAGAAGGCTGGCAGTTCAAATCCACCAGCTACTCCTCGGAAGGAAGACTGGGCAATCCACTTCCAGAGATACTGCCTCAGAAACCCCAGGAGGGGTTGCTGAGTTGGGAATGACTCGATGGCAGTGAGTTTTTTTTTTTTTTTGGGACGGAAGGTTATATAAAGAAGCAGTGGTGGCACAAGTGATTTGATGGAAGTTGGGTTAAGGAACCCTGGTGGTGCAATACTTAAGCACTCAACTGCCAATTAAAAGGTTAGCAGTTGGAACCTACCAGCTGCTCCAAAGGAGAAAGATGTGGCAGTGCATTCCCATAAAGATTATAGCCTTGGAAACTCAGTGAAGCAAGACTACTCTGTCCTACAGGGTCACTGTGAGTTGGAATTGCTTTGAGGGCAGTGGTTTTTTTTTTTTTTTCCTTACTGTGACTCTGAGAAGCCCTGGTGGTGCACAGTTATTAAGTACATGGCTACTAACTGAAAGTCTGGAGGTTTGGACCCACACAGAAGTCCCACAGGAAAAAGCCCTGGTTACCTGTTTTCCTAAAGATCGCAGCCTAGAAAGTCCTTTGAGGCAGCTCTATTCTGTCATATAAGGTCACTGTGAGTCCAAAATCAACTCACAGCACCTGACAGCCACAACAATGCAAGACTCAAATTATTTCAAAATAAAAAATTATTAAACACATGTTGGCGATATACACCCACAGCTTAAGGCCAGAGACCCACTTTCTGGAATCTAGTCTGAGGATTAACAGACAAGGAAGTGCAAGGATGTTCATTTCAATGTTACCGACAAACATGAAAAAACACGGAAACAACCAAAATGCCTGATAATAGGGGAATAAACCAGAAAATCCAAACCCACTGCCATCAAGTGGATTTGACTCATAGTGACCCTTCCTTGAGTGTCAGAAGTGGTGTCTCTACAGAAGTAGATTGCCCAATCTTCCCTCCGAAAAAAGAGGAACTATCGCCTCATCACTAAAAGTCAAGTTCATTAATGATTTTTATGACCCAGGTGCACACTCATGGTGTGATGTTTTTAAAGGCAGGTACACCACCATATACATTTGTAGTTTAATTTCAGCTATCGGGTGTGTGTCTGTACACAAAAAAAGGAATGAGATCGTAAAAAAAAAATGAAAATGGTAAAAACACGACTCCAAAATGTAAGCTCCCTGAGGGCAGCCTTGGCCTGTTTTATTTGCTGCTGGATCTCCTGCAGCTAGAACTGAGTCTAACACATAGTAGGTGCTCCATAAATTATGTATTGTTGAATGACACCAGGGCTTGTGAAACTGATTTTGATTTGCTGCTTTACAAAAATCCCAGAACCTGTCTCTAAAGCCTTATCCGATTGCCTGACTAATGGGGTGGAGCATGTGCGTTAGAGTGGACCCATTCTCCATAGTCTCCAAGGCTGAGTTTTCAGAAGCAGACCATAGTCTCCAGGCTGAGTTTTCAGAAG